TACATCCACTACGTAACAGGAAATCTCTTTCCGCTTGAACGCACACAATACACAGGTATATAATCAACAGAGAGAGTGCCTCAGACATCGGGTAGTCTGTGCATCTAGAGAAGTCACAAGATCACAGTACAATGTAGTTAGGTACCAACAACAAAAAACTGCATAGTTACGGTGCTGCTCAGTAATATATAAAATGCATGTTTTTTAAACTATGAATAAACTATTATTCAGGGTTTTTTTTTACCGTTTTGAAATTAAATTAATATATTTTTTTTTTACAAGAGTTTAGCAAACCCCTCTATAGTTTTGACAGATTCTCCAGTTTATGTAATTTTTTTCTTCAGTTAAGACAGTTTGAAACTTCATTAATTGTGTTATATTGACAGTATATACTCAAGTAAGTTGAAAAGCACAAGTTAGGGATTCTGAAAAGAATTCAATTTTTATTTTTTTAGTGTTTAAAAATTTGCACATTAGCTGTATCTTGGAAGTCAGCTTGACATAGAACTAAATTAATTGTAGGTGCATTTAAAGTAAACTAAGACAACTTGTGATGCCCTTGTTTTTAAGAAAAATTTCAGATTTATGTTTTTTTAATAAAAGTCTTGTGTTAAAGTTAAATTAAATTGAAAACATTTTATCAAAAATTTTGATGATCTTTAAAAAAGCTACAAAAAGTACCCCTAAAATGCTGGAAAATGCACCATTTAGAACCAAAAGTTAAAAAGAAAGTGAAATCTTATTTTTGATGCCCAGAAAAACGATATATGTATTTTTTCAATAAAATCTTTTTTTTATTTATTGGATCTGTGGGAAAAAGTTAAAAAGAAAGCAATCTTATTTTTGACAGGAACTAAGAACAAGTTTGTTGTCAGAACTGCCGGAGCTGGGTCCAGCTTCTTAGCGATATTTATCGAAGGTCCCTCCAAATGTGCCCTAAGCTGTCGTGAGATAGACGAGGGTTATGAATTCAGCTACACTCCTTTTGCCTCGGGCAATTACCTCATCACTATTAAGTATGGTAACATCAACATTGCTGGCAGTCCATACCAAGCGGAAGTAACAGGTACGCATGTGCACATAAACACTGGGAGCGTTCGAAGAATATTTCTGTCTACATATATTTCTCTTTTTTTCCTCTCTTTTTTCAATTCTTATTCTTATCTCATGTATCGTTTTATTTGCTTGCTGTTTTATAATTACCATATATACGTGTATATATGCGGTGAAAATAACATTTTTTTTACGTATATGTGTATAATTTGTTTCTTAAAATATACGTTGGCTTTCTGTTTCCGTTATTTCAAAGTTTTCTATCTTGTGTTCTATTGAGTGCTTTATTTACTGTTTGTGTTTCAGCTATATACAGTTAATTAAGATCGCTGAGGGAGTTCAATATTGATATTTAGTTTCGATAACAATATTGGTTTTATCTTTTTATGTATACAGCACGTGGCGGTTCAGGTATATAGTAATACCACAACCTCCAGCTTAAAGCTTGCTATATTAGCTGCATTCGTGATAGATTTCAATCATAAAGTATTTAAAAGTTGCTAAAATATCGGCAGTTTGTTAATTTCACGTCTTTTAATAATCACCGAGTAATGGAGATGCTGTTTTTGAAGTATGTTCGCAAACGGTGAGAAATGATGGGAGAAAAGTGATCGACACCGGATAATTGAAATCTATCTCGATAAAAGAGATCGACACAGGATAATTGAAATCTATCTCGATAATTTTGTTGCTTAATAGCGATTGTGTGTTCAATCGTTGCTTTTACAAGAAGATTGATTTGAGTAGTTAGAAACCAAAAAAAAAATATTCATGGTAAATATTTTGTCAAAAAACTTTATTTATAAAGAGCCAATACAAAGTAAATATCATAAACATTTACACCGATTTATGTGGAGTTTATGTATCAAGCTGAAAAGGGAATCCAAAGTTGTCATGTTGCATGTACTACATGTATGTTGTTTCTAGAACTCGATTTCATTGACGGTTGTTGACCGTTTCCTAAGTCCTCAATACTCATTTGTAACATTTCATTGAAATTAAAACAAAATTTCTCTCCCTTTCCTAAGAAATCTTAAAGTTCATTTTAAGATTCATACACAAAGAAAACCCGTGATATGTTATCATTCCTTTAATCAATAGTAGATTTTATCCTTTTCCCACCATTTGAAAGATTGTTTTGCTGTGCGAGTTACCTACCTTTTTTTAATTTCCAAGCAAATAATGAAAAAGAAACTGAAACTGTACAGGCATTGGAAAATATAATGTGATTTTTTTGTAATCATTTCTTTACAGTATATAATAGACATGTATAAATAAATTTCTTTAGGATCTGGAAGAAAGCCTTCTCCTTTGAGTGAAACATCCTCCATGGTCGTGGAGACTGTAGAAAAGAAACCGGGCGCTAAGTCCCTGAGGCGTTTCCGTGGTGACGCCAGTAAGGTGCAGGTCAGAGGGCCTGGCCTCAAGAAAGCCAGAACCAATCAGACCCAGACCTTCAGTATTGATGTCAAGGACGCAGGTTAGGAAACTAAAAGACCTAAAGTTTATGCATTTGTTATCCGGCCATTTAATAATGTAGAAAAGTAAGGAAAAAGTAGGAGATAATAAAAAAAAATAGCAAAACAAACCATCTCAACGTTTTACTTTATTTTAGGTCACGCCATGCTTTGTGTTGGTATGGTAGCTCCCAGCGGTCTTCCGGAACCGGAACTTATGATCAAGAAGAACAATCCAACATCATACACCGTCAGTTACAAAGTAGTAGAGGCCGGGGAACACACACTGTGCATCAGATTTGGTGACGAGGAGGTTCCCGGATCCCCCTTTTCCATTGGAACATAATCAGCCCTCCCAGACATTTTATCAAGTTTTTAATTCCCTTTTTATACGTATTTATCCACAGGATGTGGCAATTGTGTTGATATTTGAAAAGTGTGTATATTATGAATATAAGGACTCCATGTGTTCCGTTACCCAATGAAAACCTTAATTGTGATGTAAAATCGATTAGTTTTAATTAGACAATTAAATTTAGATATTGCAATTAATCCAATAGTTTTTCATCCCACTGTTTTCCCTTTATAACACTGTTGATAAATTATTATTTCTAACCTATTGGCAATCGGAGTCAGTTTGAATATTGTGAGAGTGTATGAACGCTTTTTGTATTTCACATTTGAAATAACTAGTCCAGTGGAGAAGAAAAAAAATGCTCACGAAAAATCAGATCATTTTATTTTAATTACTATCAGGGTTCCTAGGTAGGTAGCATGCCGAGTCTAGATGTTTGTCAATTTAATTTAATTTAATTTATTTAAATCTTGTTCTTCCTTCTGACATCCGGCTAGGATTGTTTCAATAAACTGAAGATGTCATGTTTGTTTCTTGTTATTTATTTGCCATTCAAACTCGGGAATTGAAGAAAACGGAGAATTTCTTAACCTATTTACTACTTACTTACAAGATGGGGCTTTCGGATTTCAAGCACCTATGTACATTACCTATGACAAGACCTTTCCAAATATACTACGACTAGACACTTTTTGGTTTCTGATCTATATTTTAGTGTCATTGAAAACTAGACATTTATGACTGGGTTTGAACTCAAGACACTAGTATGTTTTGTCTGACCCAAAACCAAAGTGTTTCCTTTGGACGAAGGCTAACAGTTTGGTTAGAGGGCCGACAACACATTTTACCCGAGAACACGGAAAAAAATTGTTATTATAGCTTTATTTTTTTTTTAATTTTTTTTTTTTACATGCATGTGTCTTGTACGGTCTTCCGTTATGTAAACTGAGATTAATTCTTCGATGTCTCTGTGGTATTCGAGAAGAAATTTTTTGAAAGATTTTCCCTATATTATTCATTCCCTATTGTGAGCGCGCTGATTGGCGCTTTTCGATTAGTTATCGCGGGCAAAGAATTAGATTTGCTAAATCTCTGTTTCTAAAATTACATCGAAAAAAAATGCCGCAATGCTTTTATGGAAAATGAGACATAATCATAACCAAGGATTCGGGAGAATAGTTTTTGTCCTGTCCGTCCATCTGTCTGTTTGCAAAAACGTTAATCTTGCACATATTTGACTAGGTGGGTTTTGGCATTTATCTTTAATGGGTGTATTTCTTGTGACAAGACCTTTCTTTGGGTATACAAGTACCACCAAATTTGACCTATTGGCCTTGAACTTGGAGTTTGACCCATGCACTTTTACAAAAAAAAATACCAAAGTTTAACCTTGGCCATATCTTTTGAAAAGTTGGTGCTAGGGCTTTCATACTTCACATGTGTATTTAATATAATAACACCTTTCAATTGGTGTAAATATTCTTGGCCTTGATTTTAGGGTTTGACCAACTTTGTAAAAAAAACTTTAATCTTGGCCATAACTTTTGAATAGTTTGTACTAGAGCTTTCATATTTCACAGGCACAATGTATACTAGTATTCCTTGTGGAAAGACCTTCCCTTAGATACCAACAATTTTGACCTTGACCTTGAAGTTTGACTTGCATTTGAGAAACTTCAACCTTGCCATAAATGATAAGCTGCCATTTAGGGGCATCAGTGTTTCACAAAATACATCTTGTTTTTCAATTGAAGTCCCTTATCGAATATTTCAACATTTGATTAGAAGTCCCAGTGACCATTTGTATTATGGATAACTTGAACAACTAATTATTCATGGATTCTTTTTATTAAATAATCTAAATAATAAAAAAGTTCGTTTCATTTAAAATGACATAGTAGAGATACATGCCAGGGAAAAAGTTTTTCATTACAAAAAAACTACACTTTATGGATGTTTAAAAAGTAGTTTGAAATAATTCGTTGGAAGATTATATGAACTTAAAGAATGGAGGCGTACAAGGCGAGGACAATCCCCCGCTCCGAGAACAGACAATTTTCAATTCTTAAAGTTATATTTTTCCAAATTATATGGCCTGTATCATCTTTTACACATTTAATTCTGTATTTCATTGTTTTAGTATTTTATTAAATTATTTTTCACGCATGTTTTTAAGATATGTGAAAACAAAAAAGAAAAAGAAAAGAAAAGACAATTTGTCTCAGAGCGGGGGTTTGTTTACGCTTTGTACGCCCTCTTTCTTTCATATTTGATTTGTATATACGCCGAGATCTAAAACAATATACGTATATTCATTAACCAAATAAACAAATTATTAATTATATGATTTTTAAATTAACAGAATGTATCACATTTATTTTCATTACGTTGCATAAAACACTAACATTGGTCGGCATCTGCTGAGAGAGGCATATTTTGGCACCAAGGACATGACTTAAATACACAGTACCTGTGACTACGGAAATTCGTTTTTATTATCTGTGCGTTCTTTGGATAATTGGCGGTCTTCATACAACTTCTGTCTGTATCGCAATATCTCCTCCCGTCGAAATACGGCAGGCACTGGTACCTCATTTTGCTTCAGTTTTTGGAGTCTCTCTTCGTCTTCCACGATCTTAGTTGCTGTTTTTTCTCGGAAATCTTGATCCATTGTTTCTTTTCGACACCTCACTTTTTCAAGTCGTTCCTCTGCAGCTTTTAATCTTTCTTTCTGTTTAGCAAGTCTCCTTTTTCTTTTTTCTTCAGCACGGGTTATTTTATCTTCCGATTTCTTACGTAGATTTTCAATAATCGTTTCTCGTTTTGTTTTAGCCTTTTCGTATTTTTCTTGGTATTTCCTACTCATCTCTCCTACATTTGAGAATGAAAAAATACAGAATTTAAAAATATATCCGTGTCGATACACTTGTATAAACAAGCTAGAGTATTACATTTCCGCACATTTTTAGAAAAAAAAAATACGTTTCCGCAAAAGTTTTATCACGTTTCTTTGAAATAATATACAGTTATTATTGTACATAAGCATTATTTCCACAATTTTCCGAAACTCAGTAGACTTTCATAATTTTAATCCCCACCCATAATATTTGTGTTCCTGTCTTTGTACTGTTGCAATAACATCAACAACAGATACTTCAAAATCAGCTCGTGATTACTGGCAATAATAGAAACAAAACGGAACAAACTTGACTTTCTGTATAAAGCAGAATACACGAAACTAACAAGACTAGATTTGAAGGGCTGTCGAGTTTAAGTTTTGGACATACATGTACATGAAACATGTTCTGACACAAAATCCTCCATATTCGTAGGTGATTGCATACCCCCTTTTTTCAAAATTAACTCTTTCTTCTTTTTAAAAGCGTTCATTGAAAGGCAGCCACTCTCCCTCCACTTACTATTTGTTTAAGTGAAGTTTAATTATAAAATTCTAGTAAACCAACCCCTCATCCTTAAATAAAGCGAGTACTTGTGTTTCCTTTTATTTCGGTTTACCTTACCCACCCCACCCCCCTAAATGCACTATGCGCTTGAATTTTTTTTTTGTATCTGACAAACATTATGAATCAATATTGTAATTAATTTTTTTAATCATTATTCAATATTGTAATTACATATTTTAATCATTATTTTAAAAAATATGTATTTTTACTGAATCGAGACTTTTTGTGCAAAATGTAATATCAATTGGAAGAAAAGTTGGGTGCCAAAATAATCTAAATATCAACAATATAATAAATTCATTAACGAATTAATAATAAAAGAAAACTAAAAAAAATCGGTAATAAAATAATTTTTATTCTTCGGAGTTAAGAAATTATATCTTTATAAATTCAGAATGAATTTGTACTTGAGATTGTAAAATGAACAAGGTCCCCGGGGATTATAAAAAGTTTTTTTTTTTCAAAAGACTTTTTTAAGGATAGGAGGAAGCAAAATACTATGTAATTTATATAAAGTGTATCGTGTAGCTCGTCAACGAACTAAACCGACTAACTGTATTAACAAAAAGAAAAAGGAGTACAAAAATTGACATTATTATTTATATATGTTATATTTTTAATGAAATTCAAAAAAAAAATTGAAACCAAATATTAAAATCTGTTGAACTATTCATATAATAATCAGTACTTAGATAGGGCAAATTGGTTTAAAGAAAAAAATGCCAGAATAGCGAAATGAGATTGACCTTTGTGCACTTGCAACGAACATGTCGATTTTGCGGGACATAGATCTATGCTAAGGAGTCCTAGGCATATGTATTTTTTTTTCAAATGAATTCCCGAAGTTTCCATTGGGGTTTGAACAAACCTTTTTCGTTCAGCTGATCCTGATGTAAAATGTCCGCCTGTAACATCTTTTCATCATGATTTAACTTGAACGTAGGCTCATCTTGTTGATTCTTTTCCGAATTTTCTCGTATCTTGGATTTTGACTTCTTCTTCTTCCTTTTTTTGTACCTGTTTCCCTTGTCAAATTGATCATTAACTGGGATGTAAAACGCAACAGGTCGAAAATTAAAGTTTACAGACTCAGTGTCTTCTTCAGGATCTGTTTTTACGTCGTCTTCGTTACTTTTTTCCAGTGGACTGACCATCTTTCTTGCGAGTTCGCCACAGCGTCATTGACAACGGAAGATGTATTGTTTATTATGACGTCATAAAAGAATCCTGAAGAGTTCCATTACAAAACATCCTAAAGGATACATGTAGGCTATTTTAGCATAGGGGTCGGAACCGGGGGGGTGTAGGGGGGTCATAGCCCCCCTTTTTTTGCAAATATATACTTAATATAGGCATTGAAAATTCGGTTAACCTTTTTGTTGGTTTAGCCCCCCACTTTCAATTAGCCCCCTCTTCTTTTTCAAATTGCTTCCGACGCCTATGTTTAGAATCAGGCTCCAGGGCCATAAAACTGAGATAAGCTCACTTTTGATCTAAGTCTCGCTTTTCCACCTAGACTATTAGGACTAATCCTTTTTGAAAAAAGTGAGACTGAGATTTTAAATAAAAAGCTCTTAATTCTTCTTTGTGTTTATTTTTTTTTTTCAGTTTATTTGATATTTGTTTGTCAGTTGGAGACGGACAGTCGTGCCGTCACGATCAAACTGCAGTCGGAAAGACATACGTAATAAATCAAGAAAATATTCTTAGTTGGGACTGCCGGGTTGTATTGGACATCTTTATTTCTGCTTATAATGTAAAACGATTTGCCATTTATATCAAACGGAAGCATTGGGATAATCAAAAAACGGAAATGCGTTTCTTGCTTTGAATCGACAATCATATTGTAAGGTACTTTTGAAATAAACAATGAAGGTGAATATAATTATTTCTTTTTCTTCTTTTGTGCAAAAAAAACGTTTGACACTCACCCACCCACACCCCCGTCCCACCCCCTTAGTTAACTATAAATCAGGTCATGAGTTCGAACCATGCCAGAGCTTACATAAATTTCACCTTTCCAGACAAAATAATAAAAGAAATTATGGATATTTATTGAAAATATGACAACAACACTGCTGATACATATCAAGCAAAGTAATGAAGATAAAATGTGCTAAGGCTGATATTTAATTTCACACAATCAGTTATTAAACTAAAGCTGTTACAGTAACAATTTTAACACTGCAGGTCTCAAATTGTTCAAAATATGACCTCATCAATAAAAGAATTGAGCACTTCTTGCCTAATGCATGCATTGGGTACACAATTCAGCAGATGTGATGCAAAACATACCCCCTCCAAAAAAAACAACATACTGGTTGTTCAAGAGATCATAATGAATACATGTATTAATTAAGAATATCAAATGAACTTTATATATGATCTGAGAAAAATGCTTTTATGACTGTCTGTTTGATATGAATTAATGTAATATATATCCTTGAATTAGTGCATAGAAAAAGTAATAAAAATAAATTTCTAAAATTGCTTTTAAATTAATATGATATATAATACATTTTTTTTTTAATTATAGTTTTGTATATTCCTTTGTAAGTTAATGGATTTTTTTTTTTGTTAAAATTATTACCTTAATATACTGATAGTATATTGACTTTGTTGTTCTTGTGAAGATTTTTCCTATGTACTCCTACGTAATAACCTTGATCACCCATTGTGGCCCCATTCTACACCCGAGGGTCATGATTCGAACAAACTTAATCTACATATATACAAAAAGGGCGGGGAGTTGATAATTAATCATACATATTAATTTATTTTGTTACTTAAATCTCCACTACCCAAGGATGCTTCCATGTAAATAATTTTGAAAAATCACGCCTCAAGAAGAAGAATTTCAAAGATTTTTTCTTTGTAATCCTTCTTAAAACTTTGAACACCCATAAAACTTGAATTTCCTTCACCCAAGGATACTTTGCGGCAAGTTTGATTGAAATTGGCCCACTGTTTCTTGAGAAAAAGATGAAGATGTGAAAAGTTTACGCCAACGACGACCGACAACGGACAAATTTAGATCAGAAAAGGCTCACTTAATTGAGCCTTTGGCACAGGTGAGCTAAAAACAAATTGATAATCTTCAAGTACTTATGATAGTGGTATATATTCCATATAGACAAAAAGACTGTAGTCTACACATCATTTTCTCAGGAATAAAAATTTTGTTGAATAAAGGGGCGGGGGATAGCAATCCACACTTATATACCTATCCGATTATGTTTACACACTTCGGACTCTACACATTCATTCGATAGAATTTTTTATCCGATTACTAGTATGTGTTACAATTTTGATATATATAGTAAAGGAAACAAAACTAGGCTTTTTCTCGGAATATTGCAACTTGCATACGTCATGTGACGTCAGAGTCTAAACGCACCGAATGTTGCGGTTTGACGAGCCCGATCTAAATCAAAACAATTGAAGAGCCAAAGTTCAAGCGTTATTAGTGTTTTAAGTCTGTATCAGAAAATTTCATCGAAAGCAAAAGGAAGCCATCATAAGTACAGGAAACAAAATTAATAACTTAAATAATATTTGTTGATCAACGACTTTGCCTTAGTTATGACTGCAGATTGCCTGATCACTGTTGATCCTTCTTTAACTTTGTGGAGAGCTCCTCAATTTCCTAAAACAGCAATAATTGTAAAAACGTTATTGCTAAACTGTTTGTTTAATAGATATACAAGTAACAATCTTGTGAAAAGAAATGCTATCTTTAAACAACTGTCAGAGTAAAACATTTTTTTTCTTCATAAAGAGATATAGTTAGACATAGAATAATAAGGGAATAATTCAACAATTTAATTTAATGCAAAAGAATTACCTCAGATGTAACTTCAGTCAACAATATCTTTGCCCTTTCCAGATCTATGCGAGATGTTGCCTCATGTTTAAGTAAACCCTGTATGGTCTCTCCGATCTTTTCTGGAATGTGTTTCAAAACTTCTAAATGAGCTTTGTTGTTCTCATTATCAATGATTTCATCGTGAATCTTGGATTTTGCGGTCTCTAACTGTTTGAAACTCTCAATTAGCTTTTCAATCTCCATCGCTGTTTTGATATTCAAAAAGAGTTCAAAGAAAACGACACCTAAGCTGAAATAATCGACTCTTTTATCGTACGTGCCGTTCAATTTCATTTCAGGTGCTTGGTACAAAGGTGTTCCACAGTTTCCAGATAATGTTTTCTTACCAGATGAATGTTCATCGTCATCTAAAATAATTTCAAAGAAGCGTGACAATCCAAAATCCCCAATTTTCGCCTCTCCATTGGTGCCAATGAGAACATTACTTGGTTTCAGATCCCGATGAATAATATTTTGAGCATGAATTGCTTGTAAACCATCCAAAATATTTAAAGAAATCATCTTTTTATCGAATTTTTCTCCACTCAGCAAAAGCGATTTCAGATTTTGTGTGCAAAGCTCCGTAACTATAATGAGACAAGTGTCTTTTGAAATACACGAAATTGCTTCATCATCTTCTTCTTTTTCAAACTCAACACCCCCATCATCATCGACCGTGCCATCACTTTCTTCGTATTCTGCTAAGAAACAATCATAAAAACGGACTATGTTGTCATGCTTTAATGTCTCAAGACTCTCTACTTCTCGGATGGCTTTTTCATAGTTCTTGTTATGAACAGGTATTGCTTTCAGTGCACGCTTTCCTCCTCCTACTTTGAGTTTGGCACTATAAACTATACCGAACCCCCCTCCATCTAGTATTTCAATATCCTGATATTTCCTTGTAATAATAGGATCTTTCAAGCAATTACGAATGCACTGTAAGTCTAGAGATCCAGTGGAACTGTCTGTTCCATTTCCCAATCCGCTGTCCACAGCCAAAAAAGACGCTGCAGATAAGGATGATTTGAAGGACATCTGCAAATAATGATGTTAATAAACTTCACCGATAATTTTAAAAGTTTTTTTTTTCAATGGAAAATACTTATAACTAGAGGCCCATGGGTCACATCACGCACCTGAGTAGTTTTGACCATGCTATTCTTTACCAGTTTTCCCTCTTGCAATACCCTAACCTACCCCACAGGTCATAATCTGCCCTTACCAAAGTAAAATTATTGCAGCAATATTGCCGCTATATTGCGGCAACATTGCAGCAACACATTTTTGTCACCAGAAACAAGCTTTTTGGGTCACAACTTCTGGTGACATTCTGGCAATACTGCCTGAAAAAAAAACTTTCTGGCAGTATTGCCAGAATGTCGCCAGAAGATCTAGGATTACCCATTAGGCATTTGTGAGCATGCTCAGTCATTTACTTCCTCTTTTTAAATAAAATGGAGGGAATTCAAAGGCAAGCATGTTTTGCTTCATTATTGAATGGTATCAAGTTAATTGGAGTTGTTACTTGTGTACAATAGGATTAGACATGATGACTATTAAGACTGAATAATGTGGAATAGCCAGAAAAAAAGAATTTCAGCAGTTTCCATGGCATGGCCTTTTGAAAAAATAATAGGAATGTCTAATCTGTTTTCATGGTATATATATCAGACTTGGTAAGTCAAAACCATATTCTTTTTTAGATGAATGATTTTATGGAGTTAAAATAGGAAAAAATTTTATGCATTTCAACTAGTGCTTGTGATGCATGTATACTTGTATGTCTATATATACCATTATTGCAGGAGAAGATGAATGCATGTTATCAATTAAATGCATGCGCATATATGATTAATTTATTGCATAAATTTGAATACCTGCAAGAAAATAATGATTCTATATATATGTTGGAAATTACAAACAAGCTATGTATTATACATTACACTGATTGGCATTAGGGAATATGTGATGGTCAGCTAATTATAAGGTTATCTGAAAATTAATGCAGAGTTGCTGGACATTTTTACAGTGGCATATTAATATTTTTTATACACACATTTTTTATGTGCCCGGATTGATAGATTAGGGCGCATATTGTTTTTGTCCAATCTGTTTGTAAACTTTAACCTTTGCCATATGTGATAAATTTTGAACCAATGAGATATAAAGACTTCATATTTGGTATGCATACTCCACTTATTAAGTCCTTTCAAATTACACCAAGGTCAATGACCTGGTGACCTTAACTGTGACCTATATGCTAAAAATAGTTTTTATTGAGTATTTGCCATAAATTAAGAACTTAGTATATGCATACTCAACTAATTTGGGTCTTTAAAATGACACCAAGGTCTTAGACCTTGTAACCTTTGCTGTGAGCCATATGCTTAGAATAGATTTTTTGAACATTCGACATAACTTTTGAACCATGAAAGATGGCAGCTTCATATTTAGTATCCATTCTCCACTATTTATGTCTTTCAAATGACATCAAGGTCAATGACCTTGTGACCTTTTTTGTGATCTATATGCTAAAAATAGCCTTTATAAAACCCCACCATAAATTTTGAACCATAAGAGATAGAGACTTCATATTTAGTGTGCATATTTCACTAATTAATTATAAGTTCTTTCAAATGACACCAAGATCAATGACCTTGTGACTTTGACTGTGACCTATATGCTAAAAATGGTTTTTCAAACTTTGTTGCCATTGGGGGCATAAAGTGTTTCAAAACACATCTTTTTTCAACAAAATTTTTCTATCTTATCAAAGAATAGCATAAGCTTAAGTAGCTATTTCTTACTGACTCTGTAGCTTACTATGCTCTTGATTCTTATGTTCCTCAGCACAGTTTGTTAATTGTTAGATTGATAGATCATTATTTCTATTAAATACCAATTTATATCTAATTTACATACGAAAAACGATATTGCCGCAATATTGCGGCAATAATGCCGGAAGATGTTGCCAGAAGATCAATATTTTGGTCATGATTTGCAGCAATATTGCTGCAACCCCTTTCTGGCAATATTGCCGCAAAACTAATTAACATACGAAAAACGATATAGTCGCAATATTGCGGCAATAATGCCGGAAGATGTTGCCAGAAGATCAATATTTTGATCATGATTTGCAGCAATATTGCCGCAACCCCTTTCTGGCAATATTGCCGCAAAACTAATTTACATACATTGTACGAAAAACGATATAGCCGCAATATTGCGGCAATGTATTGCCAGAATGTTGCTGCAACATTGCGGCAATAAAGCCAGAAGATGTTGCCAGAAGGTCAATATTTTGGTAAGGGTGGACAATTTGATATACACCATCCCAGGATATATCCACATAAGTTTCAGCTTTTCTGACCCAGAGGTTCTGGAAAGGAACATTTTTAAAGATTTTTTTCTGTATATTTCAATATAAAACTTTGATTCCTAATGTGGCCCCGCCCTATCCCCGGGGTCATGATATGAACATTTTAGAATCTGCACAAGCCCTGTTTGCTTACCCATAGGTTCTTGAGAAGAAGATTTTTAAAGATTTTTTCTATATAATTCAATGTAAAAATTAGATTCCCTATTGTGGCCCCTCCCTAGCCCCGGAGGTCATGATTTGACAAATTTAGAATCTCCACTGTCCCAGGATGCTTCCCATTAAATTCAGCTTTTCTGGCAAAGACGTTCTTGAGAAGAAGATTTTTAAAGACTTTTTTCCCTATATAATCCAATGTAAAACTTGGATTCAATATTGTGGCCCCATGCAATTCCATGATCATGATCTTAAAAAATTAAAATATGCACTATCCCAGGACGCTTCAACATAAGTTTCAGTTTTTCAGGCCATGTAGTTCTTGACAAGAAGATTTTAAAAGTTTTTATCTATATTTTTGAATAAATGTAAAACTTGAATTCCGTATTGTGGCCCCTCCATACCCCCGGGGGTCATGATTTGAACAATTTAGAATCTACACTAGGTTTTAACTACTTCGAAATGAAAAAAGATATGTATTATATTTTCTTGTGAAAATGCTATTGCAATATATAATTCGAAATAATAAAAAAAAGAGAGAGAAAATATTAACTTCTAATCTGTGTATGCACCTTTAAGAATTTTCATTAATTAAATTAAATTTTACTCTTACCTTGCAAATTTTACTACAGAGTACAGGCTGTCACTTACTGCCTACAGCAGCATATATTCGTGGACAAATACAAATCGAAAGTAAATCTTCACTTCCTCTTTCCTAAAATGCAATCGGAAATCCTCACCGACTCTGCAATTTTATTTCTAGTAAAATCAGACCCCCTGATCTGCTCACACAGATCGCTGTAGCGATCTATGTGAGCCGATCAAGGGATCTGATTTTAATTAGATTGGTCATGTCTTTTTAACAGTAAATACCAGGACTTTTATATTTCATATATGTATTCTTTGTGGAAAGACCTTTCATTGCATACCAAGAACGTTGATCATGATCATTTGACCTTGGAGTCTGACCTACCTTTAGAAAGGAAAACTTGACCATAACTTTTAAAAGGTTAGGGATAATGCTTTCGTACTTTACGTATTTAATCTTTGAGACAAGACCTTTCATTTAATATCAAGAACTTGACCCTTTGACCTTAGAGTTTGACCTACTATTTAAAAATTTCAACCTTGGTCATAACTTTGAACTGTTAGAACTAGGGCTTCCATATTGCCCTAACACCTGAACCCCTGTCGAAGGCCATAAAATTAACAATTTTGGAAGAGGCAGCCTTAATTATTCATCATACTTATGTACTAAGACTTACTATGTACTTGGTTAGTTTGTTTAACATCAAGGAGAAGAGAAGATTTTCAGAAAAAAACCCCCAAAAAACGCATTTTCACTATATAATCTATATAACCCTGTTCCTCCTGGACATAAATAACCTAACCAAGTACATATCTGTGTTGAATAAGGCTGCCTCTTCGTATTTTGTGAATTTCATGGCCTCAGGGTCAATTGTTCTAGGGCCAACACAGATTTACTTGTGTTTTACCTGTATTTTTTCAAATTGTTGGCTAAGTGGGAAGACACCTCCAGGGTTATAAAGAAGAAGATTTTTAAATAAATAATGCATTTTCACTGTATAATCTATATAGCCCCGCCCTAGTACTAGAACCCCCTGACCCAGGGGCCATGAATTTCACAATTTTGATAGAGGAACATTCATGTCAACAGTATGACTGCTTGATGTCCAGGAGTAAAGAAGATTTTTAAAGATTGCATTAATTTTAGTGATTTTGGCCCAACCCCACCACAAACCCGGGGGGGGGGGGCAGGGACCATGAAATTAAAAAAAAAATTCCCTTCACCAATTGATGCTTTCTGCCAAATTTGGCTGAAATTGGTTCAGCGGTTGCAGAGAAGAAGCTGAAAATGTTCAAATGTTAACGCACGACGACGAAAACGGATAGCAATAGGTCATGTCCTGAAAATGAAAAAAAAGTTAATTCAGAGAATCATCGACCCCCGCTTAAGGAAAAATGAAAAGCATGTTCGGTTCTAAAAAAAAAAGGGGGGGGGGGGGTTCAAAGGGTGCCACTTTTAAGAAGGACGGGCCTAGGGAGTTATGGTATAAAATCCAATTGCAAAAACTCAAAAGCGTCTTGAGGTATCTCCCGGAAATAAAAATGTTGAAACATACAGAATATTTGAATTTATGATCTTGACCTTTGACCTTTTGACCTCAGAATTAATTGGGATCTTCCTTAGGTCATGGGTATGAGGCGCCGTTTTAATATTTTTGAGGTATTTTCTGATATCAAAAAATGAATTCTTGATATCAAAAATTCGATTTTTTGATATCAAAAATAATTCTTGACATCAAATAATAGATTTTTTTTAAAAATCAGAAAATCGTTTTCTGATATCAAAAATTCGGATTCTTTCTTTCTTTCGAAACCGAAATAAATATCCCCAACCTTCAGAGGGGGGTGATATAATGAATTTTAAAAAAATTGTCAATTTTGACATATTCTAAATGAGCTTCCGTAGATGGCGAATATGAAGTTTTCAGGTGAATTTAATGGCATACGTGTTATACTAACAAGCTTTCTTTAAAAAAAAAAATAGGTGGTTTTATATTTAAGGCTACAAATTCTACATGAAAACAGACTGAAGTTATATATTTTTTTAAATACCAAACTTGATTTTAAAAATATTTACGAAAATATCTTACAAGTGCAAGGACTATCAATTTAATTAGGAAGGAAAACAAAACTAGCGTTGTTTTGAGTAATAATAATATCATGAATAAATGTAACATGTCATGTTTAGTAAAGCTATAATGTAAAACGAACTTGAAAAAAATTATATTATGCTTTATGCCAAATTTGGCTGAAATTTTTCAGAAGAATGAAAATGTTCAAATGTTAATGTTGTTTTCATGTGACCTGAAAATGAAAAAAAGTTAATTCAGAGAATCATCGACCCCCGCTTAAGGAAAAATGAAAAGCATGTTCGGTTCTAAAAAAAAAGGGGGGATGGGGGGTGCTTCAAAGGGTGCCACTTTTAAGAAGGACGGGCCTAGGGAGTTATGGTATAAAATCCAATTGCAAAAATCAAAATCTCGTTTTTACAGAATATTTGAATTTATAATATCTCGAATTTTCTTCCTTAGGTCATGGGTATGAGGCGCCGTTTTAATATTTTTGAATAAGTCGTTTCAAAAATTCGATTTTTTGATATCACATCAAATAATAGATTTTTTTTAAAAATCAGAAAATCGTTTTCATATCAAAAATATCTCGTTTTCAACCAAGGGGGGTGATATAATGAATTTAAAAAAAAATTGTCGTTTTCACTAAATGAAGATAATATCTGAATTTTTCACTTTCTTTAAAAAAAAAAAAGAAAATATTATCTTGGTTTTCACGTTGTGATGAACTTGGCTTAAGTAATATCTGAAAACAGAGCGTTTATCAGTTGCAATGTGATAATATCTCGTTTTCACTAAGATAATTTCATTGTTTTGAGTTTTCATGTCATGTTTAGTAAAGTTATAATATCTCGTTATCACAAGCTTTATGCCAAATATCTCTGAAAATGTTGTTCACGACGAAAACGGATAGCAATATCTCGTTTTCATGAAAAAAAGTTAAAGATAGTGAAAAGTCGTTTTCACAAGATAATAAGTCGTTTTCACAGAATAAATAATATTGACCTCAGTTTTCAGGTCATGGGTAAGAATAATATCTGATATCGTTGATTCAAAAACGAAGATCAAAAATTATTTTTTGATATCAAAAATGTTTGACATCAAATAAAGATCAGAAAATTTTTTTCTGTTATTTAAAAAAAAAATAATTGCGTGTCCTAAATATACGAATATGAAGTTTTCAGGTGAATTTAATGGCATACGTGTTATACTAACAAGCTTTCTTTAAAAAAAAAAATAGAAAATGAAACTCACTTGGTTTTCACGTTGTGCTTTGAAGCTTGGCTTAACTGTTCGTAAGCTACAAATTCTATCATGAAAACAGACTGAAGTTATCAGTTGCATATGTGTCATACTATGAAATGAAAACGAAACTTGATTTTAACTTTATATTTACGAAAATAGATAATAGAGTACAAGTAGTACTATAGGACTATCAATTTAAGGCCGTTTAGGAAGGAAAACGAAACTAGCGTTGTTTTGAGTAATAATAATATCATGAATAAATGTAACATGTCATGTTTAGTAAAGCTATAATGTATTTTCAAAATACTTTCATGTACTTCCGTGAATAAAAAGCTTACTTCAAATCATATAGCCTACGTCTAAACACAATTTACATGTACAAAGACTATTGCATAAGTCATGCAGCACAGAAGCGTATTAGGGCCGCAGCAGTATCTTTTATTAATTTGTTAAAGCAAATCAGTAATTTGTCAAAACAAATTAGTAATTTGTGAAAACAAATTAGTAATTTGTTAAAACAAATTAATAAAAAAAATACTGATGCAGCCCTAATACGCTTCTGTACTGCAGAGTGAGTCTGTAAAGATAAATATAAGTACAGTGAAACCTCATTACCCCAAACATGATGGGACCAAGAAAAACTGAGAGATACCCCAGGACTTGAATTACATGTATTGACCGTAAAATATTTACAGAAAATATTTGCATGGAGTCCCGAGTCACTTAAACATATCCATGTTATTCGAGATATTACCAGTGTTCAAGATATCAAAGTTCAACTGTAAATTGCATTTTTGGGAATAAAAAATTAGTAATTATAAATATGATTTACATACTGTCTTTGCGTATGTCATGGTATGTAGATGTAATCAGACAAACATACAAGCATTTATTCAAAATTGTATCAGTTTGACATTTTTTCTACCCCACCCCCCCCCTTTTTTTTTAAACGACACTTTCTGCTTGTTTTCTTGTAATTCCTCCATTTGTAACTTGCACCATGCATAACTTGGATCTGTCACTTTTAAATCAAATACTTTTGAATAATACACAACAAATCTCGTTGTTTTGTTTTTGTTTCTACACGTACATAAACAATAAACTGATTTTTAAGATGTTAACGGTTGCATCAGTGGTAAAAAAGCTTTGAGAACAGCCAATTTTTATAACTTAATGTTTTTTAGAACACAAAGTTGACAGATATATTTTCAAAGGTTAAATAAAGATTTGTAATAACAAAGAAGTAGTCTTGATTTATTTTCAATAATACATAACAATACAGTTTAACATATAAATATTGCAAATTTCATCAGAACAACTTATAAATTATATCATATATAGACAAATTTGCTCTATAACAGGTTTGCATAACTTAAATATGACAGAATTTGCTTCCCATATTTGCAGTAGTTACCGGTATCTTGTCCTGTTTTGGGACATGTAAGCAAAGCAAGTATATAATATATTGTATTTTCCCAAGTAATGAGACTGCAATCATTTGGGGGAAAAAGATCACTGTGGCTCCATCACCTTGGAAATCGTTTCATTTCTCAGGGGACAATAAATTCTCCACTCCCCCTCAAACCCATTCCATAACTATACACTATCTTAAAATTAGTTTACCATTTTCATTTTTTAAAGGAGCATTTAAATATCAAATATGTTGCCTGTTTCACTAAAATGAAATATAGATAATATGAAGACATTCTACTACCAAACTATATAAAGGGTCCCTGAATTGTCTATGCTACATTTGAGTTATGCTATAAATTTATGTTATGCATCAAAATCTAAGGACTTCCTAACTATAGTATTTTCACAAAATCTTTGATAAATCCAATTTTTTGACATTTCTTTTTCTTTAAGCCAATCAATCAACCTATACCTGCTAATCTTCCAGTACAGCAACACCCAAAGAAAGCCATGTACATTACCCTTAATGTATAAGTTACCTGTACGAGTGTATAAAGATTAAAAGTTTGATGAGATTTAATATGGACAGTGTTAATTTATCATTAATTAACAGAATTTATTTTATCCTGGGAGGGGGGGGGGGGGAGGGGAGGTATCAATGTTCAAGTAAATTAAACCCAAATTAGAAATCAATTAACAATCATAGATTTTGATGGAATATATTGAGTTTTGTGTTGTATGAAAATAATTGAGGTCTTAAAAAGTAATGCCCAAAATTACAATCAAGGTACATGAAATTAAAATTGTTTTTTTTTTTAAAATCAATTTCATGCAAGTTAACCATGTTTAACATTTTCCACTCTTTAATCCCTATTCATTTTAATTATATGATTTTCTACAGAAGAGAAAAAAGAGCAAAATTCTTGAGATTCTCAGTTACCTGTATTCAGCTTAAACAAAACATTGAGCAATTATGCCATATGATTATTTTTCAAAGTTAACATTTATCACAGTTTAACTTGAACAATTTTTAAAACTATCTGAAGTCAGAAAATTAACAAAGAAAATAAAAAAAATATTAAATCACATAGCTTGTCTAAAAATAATGTACAAAATACATTGTCAAAGTCATGCAGGGTGTTCAGTAGACATACATATACATATTTTTACAGTCAAACCCCATTTTTTTTAACTTGATGGGATTCAGTAAGTCTTTGAAATATCAGAGAATTTTAGATATTGAGGGTAAAAAACTTAAAGCATATGTGATTAGGATTTCCAAATCAGTTCAATATATTCACAGTTAGAGATAAACACTGTATTTGCGTAGGTCATGGAATGTAATTGACTAGATCTAAACAGACATACATACAAGCAATTGTTCAAAATTGTACCAGTTTGACATTTTTAAATGTCAGTTTTGACATGTTAATTTATCAACAAACAATGAAGTTCTAAGTACAATTTGTCCCTGAAAAGCACTCTATAGTGAAGATCTGACATCACCTTGTAAATAACAAATCCTCCATCACAATGTTGAAGATAATCTAGTTGAAATTAACTTTGCCTCCATTACAATGTGAAGAACAACGAGTTGAAATTACCATTTTCTCCATCACAATGGTGAATATCATTGAGTTGAAATTAACAGCTCTTCCATCATCATGGTGAAGTTCATGGAATTGAAATTAACAGTTCCTCCAACATAAAGATCATTTAGTTGAAATTAACAGTTCCTCCATACTGACTTTCCAAAGTTTCTGTGTGACCTTGTATCTAGCAAGATCCTTCCTTGTCACCATACCAACAACCTGTTAAAAAAAGGCACAATTTAAAAAAAAATGTGGGGGGATTTTGTTCAGATCAAAATATCTTAATTAATCTTCTAAGATTTGGTTACAAATGAATGAAATTAGTTAAGCAATATTGTGAACTGTACGTAATTTTACATGTGCAACAAGCAGTAATCAGCATTTACAGGTACAGTATACAGAAAACAAGCAATTTCAAAGAATTGTGGTCCCCCACTTCTGGTGTCTTTGTGAGTGAGATGTCATTTTTTTATGACATATTGTCTCAAATATGAATGCCCTATCATATGTCATTTAAAATTTAAAAATCAATCCTGAAGGTCAAGATCAATAGGTCACAAATCATAGCATGCTTGGATTATTTTGTCACAGGTAATGCACATGTTAAATATGAAAGTCATATCTCTTTTTCAATATAAGGAACAAGATGTGTTTCTGAAACACAAAGGACCGCTAATGGCAACATAACGAAGACTTAACTTTTCTTAAATGCAAATTAAACATATTATTACCCAAAGATTTTTTTTTATTAAAAGTAGGTCAAACTCCAAGGTCAGGTCATTCTTGAAATCCAATGTAAGGTCCCTTCACAAGGATTGAATACCAGAATGTGAAACATGAAAGCCTTAGCCATAATCCTTTAAAAGTTATGGTCAAGGTTTCTTTTTTAAAAGTAAGTTAAACTCCAAGGTCAAGGTCAAAGGGTCAAACTTCTTTGTATCCAATGAAGGGTCTTCTCACAAGAACTACATAAGTGAAGTATGAAAGCCCTATCCCTTACCGTACAAAAGTAATGGCCAAGGTTAAAGTTTTTTCACAAGTACAGAAATCTCCAAGGTCAAGGTCAATAGGTCAAGGTTGTTAGTATCCAATGAAAGGCCTTGACACAATAAATACATATGTGAAATATGAAAGTCCTAGTTTTTACCATTCAAAAGTTATAAGTTTGGAATTTTTGTGTAAAGGTGGGTCAAACTCCAAGGTCAAAAGGTTAAATTTGGTGGTACCCAAAGAAAGTTCTTGTCACAGGGAATACACATGTGAAATATGAAAGTCATAGCTTCACTTATTCAAAAGTTATGGGCCAGGTTAAAGTTTTTGTGATGGACGGACAGCTAGACAGACGGAGAGATGGACAGACGAATAAGATTTAATGTTCCCTCGCTTTCCTTAAAGCGGGGGACAATAATAATGATGTTTGATTTTTTAATAACATTAAGGTTTCTCAGTCATTCACAACAATAATATATCTATGAGAAGTAGATTTACGTGTCCATACCTGATGATGTTTGTCAACAACCACAAGATGCCGAAGACCAAGAGCTCTGAACAATTTAAATATCCTTGGATAAAGAGAATTCTAAAAAAAATATTTAAAATCAACATTGAATTAAAAATAAATAAACAATGTAAATAAATGTTTTAATGTTGTGATTTATGCTTCATACAGCTACTTCATTATACTTACATCTGTAATACAGTATGCGGCGGGATTCATATATGGCTCTAAATTTATTTCAAAATGTTCACGTTCATACTGGGATATATGAATTTGCTGCAATAGATACCAATGTATTAATTTTTTGACATAAGCAAAAAGAAACAAGCTTTTAACATTCATTATGAAGATCATACAGCATGATGCAGTTTACTGAAGATATCATAAAAAGATAAGGATAACATAAAATGTGTAGCATTTTTTACAAACAAAAGAGTCAAAACTGATCTTCCAGCTTATCTTTAAACAACTGTCACTCAAATTTGAATTAAAAAATTAGTTATTAATGCATTCAAGTAATTATTTTAAAGCAGAGACTTCATGCTTTCAAGAATTATGTTGGAAAGCAGACCTGATAAAAACTCAAATGTAACCCTTCATACCAAAAATACCTGTACTACAGGGGCATGTGTAACTATAGACTGATGTAACAAATTACACATGTAGAGTTGGGATCAGATCTTGTGCTCTTTTGAAATATTAAGATAAACACCGGTATATGCCATTTTGGAAAAAAAAATTTCCAAATTGGGTACATAATTTATAGCATTTTTAATTTAGACACTTTTGGCAAAATTCATTTCAAACATCATAGATCCAATAGTGATATTTTAGGTGCTGTCTATTTTAAATGTTTAAATGTTTATAAAAGTTGATTTTTAAATTTATTTTTTTCATATGTAACATGTACATGTATGAGGTGTCCCGTTATACTTACTCTTACAGGAGTAAACTTTGGATATGCATCTCTAAAATCCTTAGTTGTCAATTTTGCAGTTAGATTATCTCCATAAATCTAATAAATAAATCAAGTGAAATGAAAATCAATCAGTATTGTGCTTTACTATTAATTTCAAAATTTTCTTAGAAGACACTGTGAACCAACTTTCCTTCAACATTCTGTTTCCCTGCAACTCTTTGAGAAAATTGAAATCAATTAACTTAGAGTTTATAGAAGTTAACAAGCAAATTACTTCAGCATGATTTATAAATTAACAAAATTAACCGCTGAGCAATTTGTTAGAAAGATTTCATAATGACAGGAAATTGTAGTGAAAAGAAAGTTAGTTCACAGTTAATGAATTGCATTCCTTGCATATATATGGCGTACCCTTTGCTTTAAAAGAACTAGTAACTGTGATCTTAAAATGATCCCTCTGTAGGTTCCAAATGACATTTCTTCTTCCTCTGAAGACTACAATACAAAATTCAGAATCACTGTATTAACGAATTCAAATATTTATATCATACATACAACTGCATCTGAGTAGTAAAAAGTACATGTATTTGAGAGAAACATTTCTTAGTTTAATTAAAACTGAACAAAATAATTTTAAAAAATATTTACTATTATTTGCCATTTTTAAAGATTATGATATCTATCGATTGAAACTTTAAAACTCTAATCCTTTCATCATAAACGTAAACAACTGTTTTTGGTGCCTTGACCAGGATACTATTCTCACACAATATTTTTTCATTCTTTTTATGGCGTCGGGCTTGCCCGATCGTCATCTAGCGGTCTGTCAGGTTTACGCGACCGCACGTGTCAGTGGATGCATCCGCAATAGAAAATAGCAACAGCTGTAAACCAATTTCTTTTAAAACGTTCACAATGAATAATAGCTTGAATATAAAATTAAATCAATTGTATCTTTAATTAATACTACTAAATCAAAGGCCTGAAAGGCCATAATGGCTTACGTGCTTGACATGGATGTAAAATGGAAGGAAATGTAGTATACTAGAATATTACTAAGTGTTTTCCCCAGAAATTTCTTAATGCAAGGGTTGGGGTTCGCTGAATTGACAGCCTGAGGTGTTTCTCGGCAGTTGAATTTATTTTATCTAAATTCATATTTAAATGGAAAATACAAATTCACTAATAAATTCTTTTTTTTTTTTTTTTTTTTTTTTTTTTTTAAAGGTAAATAAAAGCTAAATATATATTTTGAACAAATTGTCAAATTTTACTGAAAATTATTCAACAATAGAGTTTTTTATATACAGAGATCTAATCACGAAAAATTGTTCTATTAAAATTTTCTTTAAAGTCTTTTTACTGTTTTATGTATTGACACTATTGTGCTATTTTTTGCTATCTACAAATAGGCCCCTAATGACCCCCCTTATTTTTTTTATGTATCTACTCTTGCAGTCATCTTGAAAATTTTTTGTTCTCATTATGTAGCACCAATGTCATGCTTACTGCATGTAGATATTGTCACTTGGAGAGCTTTTGAATATATAGGTCACTGGGTATCAGCACAGGAGTCGGCAATTTTATCAATAAATAGAAAATAAATGGTAAACAGGCATAAATCCTACCAGTGAGCTTCGCGAGCGTAGCGAGCGAAGCGACAGGATGGCAACGAGTTTTCTCGATTTTCTCTAAATCGCTGTCCAGCCAACATCAAACTTCACATATCAACTTCGGAGTATCCAGTAAGTAATTCCTAACATTTTTTACCATTCAACTACCCTAAATTATCTTTATAACCACACTTTTTCACATCTCGTTTACAACCAGCGGCCATTGACAATCGGCGTGACGTCACACCCACTGCAGCAAATAATAAATCATCATTTTGAGTCTCTTTTAATGTGTTTTCGGCATTAGTAATTGATGTTAAAAAATCCACTTACTGAACAGAAGCTCCAAAATTGCTGGACATCTTCAATTGTCTTGAATCATTTATTAGAAACGACTGTCACTCTCTGTTTTTAAAGAATCAGGGGCAGTAAGCATATGTGAGCTGCCCAATATTTTTCAAATATTTTTATACCAGTGTTATCGTTAAGTTGGTTTATTTTTCATATATCGAGATGTCCAGTTTGATGGAAATAGCAATAAAATTTTCAACATTTGATTTGTAGTTGAGTTATCACCATGTGAAGTAGGGCGATTTTTCCGGAATTGAGAAATTTCCATCAAATTCTCACATTCCAAACAGGATTTAGATATGGCCGCACGCAAACAACAGAGTAAAAATTTAATAGATTGTTTAAAATGGCACAATAAATTATATCCCAAAATATCATTCTGTTGCTTGCATGCGGCCACCCTGAAAAATATATAAAACGATGTTTTTCGAGGCCGATTTTGATCGCTTCCGGTTTCGGTTTTTACATTCAGACGTAAACAAAGTTGGAGGAAACAGAAAATGTGACAGTAGATTTATCGAAGTTCTAACCATTTAACAGGTAGGGATGAATTGAAAATCAGAGCAATTGTAATTTTACATGCACTGTTCAAAATTAAATCCCCTCCTATACTTATTAATGATAGCAGATTCGACATGACAGACTCCGCTAACTCCATGAACTCGGGGGGACGGTAATCTTCACATGCATGTCAAACAGTTGAAAATAGAAAATGTGTATCTAAAATACATCAAACAGGAACACAACATGCTATCTTCTTTCAAAGAAAAAAATAGATTATAAAAAAAATGACTTAATCATCGATTCTTTTTTATTTAGGCCCTAATATTCATGATTCATTCATATGAACCCTCGATCGGCCGGTTGATCTTCATGATTAGCCGCGTTTTATCAGTTGTGAAAATCTTTACATATACGGCATTAAAATATAAATATACTACATTTCTAGGTTGGGGTTTATAACATATTTTTCTGTCTGAGTACAAATACAACTGAGTCTAGCCTTACACTGGTACCTGTGTACTTTGTGTAAATGTATGGTGTGCTATAACAGTCAAAAATAAAAAAAAAAAAAAATGGCAAGAAGTTTTTTTTTTTTTTTTTTTTTTAATGTTAAACCATTAAAGAAATAAAAAAAAATGTTTCTTAAAAATAAGCTAACATCACTAAATCTAATTAATGTTCTTTGCAGAATAAACAATATAAATTCTTTCTATTTTTCTTGTGGGAACAATGTATTTTTGTTGTTTTTTTAACTTATTAATTAAAATATTATTAATGTAAAATTAAACTTTTGTCAATATTAAAAAAAATAATTAGATTACCTTGGAATATTATGAATTCATTTAAATCACCATTTAAATGAAAGAAAAAATGTTTGTCATTACAAGGTTCATCTTTTTTGTTTTAATTTAAAGTACCCAATAATGTCATTGCTTCAGATTTTATTCATTTAACTCAAATAGGTAAATCAATAAAACTGCTATTTAAATTGATTTCATGAATGAAATAATTATATATTATACCTGGTGATACATGTATAAATAAATTATTCCCCTTTTCTCATATGTAAAGAAAATCATATGCAAATGTATATACACTGTACAAGTAACCCCCTTCATTCATGTATAGACAAAATGTGCATAGTTACATAATATATATAGTAATTTAATTTTGATATTTATATTTTAATTGTAGGATGCCTGGAGATGGTCCAAAACAATATCCTGTTACTGGAGCTGTTACTTATTAGTATTGTCAGTGCCGTGCTGGAGCCAGAGTTGTCGGGGCATGTGCCCATGTGGCCTCAGTATTGTGGTTTCTTGGCTATGAAAGACACACAAACTTTGCAGTAAGACCTATTCAAGACTGGGCTGACTACTTGAGGATGCAGCTGTGCAACCTGCAGTAATGGATGGCTCATCAGAAAGTGAAATGAGTGCAACGGAAGAGTGACATGAATTGTGACATTGGTTTATTGATAGTGAACATTCTTGATAGTGAACATTCTGCAGATTATAGGCGTCTCCATATAAATGAAAATTCTCAAGAGGGACGTTAAACAATATACAATCAATTAATCAATCAATCTGCAGGTTATGATATCAACTGCATTAGACTCCCATTATTGTTTTCAACAATATTGTGGAAGGCTGTGTATATATTGTTATTAATTAATTGTAAATAGGGATTTTTATGTATCTATGATTTTTTTTTATGTTTAAATTGTGATTTCTTAACATCTGTTATAAAATTGGGAAATTAAAATATAGTACATTGTACATCCCAAAAACATAGTAGATTCATTGCATGAGTTTAATAAGTTTGGTTGTAAATATTGAAAGATGAATTATGTACTTTGACAAATGAAATGATTTGTTATTATCATATGATTAATTGTTATCAAAATTAATATACTGATGTAAAATGCATAATGTATCACAAAATGTTTCTCAGATAATAGTAACAATTATAGTTTATTATGCAATGTGTTTATTTGCATATTGAACTTTGTTAATAATTAACATGACTATACAAGTACTTGTTATTTTTTGTAACACAATGTAATTACAAAACCTTTCCAGACAAACATGTACTAGAATAACTAATTCTTTGATGCTTAGGTCATTTTTATGACATTGTGAGGATGATAAACATTATTTTATTATGAGTAATTGCAGTGTATAAGGCATGAGTGGTGTGATGTTAAACTTCTATGATCTTTTTGGAAAAAAGTATAGGTGGGTGATAGGAGTTCTGGAATTTGTTTATGCAAACTGAAATCCCTTATTGTTATTTTTGTCAAGTTTAATGAATTGTTATTAAAAATGTTAGTTGAATACATTTCTTGTTCACTTTGTGCATTCAATGTATTTTTATGTGAAATACATACAAGTAAATTCAAAGAATTGTGGTCCCCCGCTTTCGGTGTCTTTGTGAGTGAGATGTTATTTTTTTATGACATATTGTGTCTAATATGAACACCCTACCATATGTCATTTATTTAGAAATTATCATTGAAGTTGATTTTTTTGAAGGATGAAAACCCTAATCCTGACCGTTAAAAACTTATAGCCAAAGTGAAAGTTTTTAAAGGAGGTCAACTCCAAGGTCAAGATCAAAGGGTCAAAGTTGTTGATATCCAATGAAAGGTCTTCTCACAAGAATTACGTATGTGAAGTATGAAAGTCCTAGCCGTTATCGTTCAAAAGTTATGGTCAAGGTTAAAGTTTATTCATAAGTAAGTAGATCTTTAAGGTCAAGGTCAAAGTTGTTGATATCCAATTAAAGCTCCTGCCACAAAAAAATATATATGTGAAATATGAAAGTCTTATTATCTATCGTTCAAAAGTTGTGACCAAAGTTAAAGTTTTTTTCAAAGTAGTGAAAACTCCAATGTCAAGGTCAAAGGAAAGTTGTTGGTATCCAATGAAAGGTCTTCTCAAAGGATTACATATGTGAAGTAGGAAAGCCCTAGCTCTCACATTTCAAAAGCTATGGTCAAGGTTTTAGTTTATTCATAAGTACGTA